CGCGGGCAGCCAAAAGGAAGGTGAGCCCTGCGCTGCGATGAGAGCTTACGCTTTTCATGGTCACTCCCGGACATGGCATGGCGCGGGGGGGGGGCGCAATGTCACCACATTGAAGCTACGCCGTCAGCGACAAATGCCAATTGTGGAAATAAAACCACTGTGAGCGATTGAGGTTTTTAATTTCATATAGATGCCACAAGGTGGCGGCAAAGCACTCGATTCCACGAGATGCAACGAAGCTCCTCCCCTCACTCCAACTCTGCCATAGATAATTCTCTGGCCAAAGATCATAAACCGCAAGTGTTTTTGCGCAAATATGGACGATCGGGTGAATTTGGAAATGGCAAGTTTGCAGGGGAAACGCCGAGTGGCAGCCTCCGTCCGCTTCCCCGCATGTCCAAAAAGTTCAAGACGGAAGGACGTGGCCGCCAACGAGTAACTCCCTTGCACGTTCGGCCCGCTTTGCGGCCACCGATGAACATGTTGAGCTTCCGTTCGTCAAAAGTTTTCCTGCCTCCGCCGCCTCCGCGTCGTCGTCCGGGGCTTGGCTCCCGACCGGGCGGCAGAGACTCTCAGAAGGCTTTGGCACGTTGCAAGCTTCTCCTTTGCAGGTCCGGAAGGGGCCAACCTGTTCATTTACCACCTGCCTCAAGAGTTTGGCGACCAGGACCTGCTCCAGATGTTCATGCCCTTCGGCAACGTCATCTCCGCCAAGGTCTTCATTGACAAGCAGACCAACCTCAGCAAGTGTTTTGGTCAGTTTGCGCCACTGAAACGTGTACGTGTGAAATGAGAGATGAGACGCTGAAGCGCCACGTCATCCCGGCGGCTTGACTCTGAGAATCGATCGCGTTCGGTGCCGTACGCGAGAGGCGTATCAACGTTAGACATGCTGCAAATAAGGCGCCTTCCACCTTTTGCAGGACGTCAATATCCACACCAACATGACGTTGCATAAACATGTTCCATAAACATCGAATGTGACGTAAACACGGTGCACTGGAGGCGTCTCGAAAAATGCCATGCCGGTATGTTGGGAGTCCGGAACAAAAGATGTGCATCGGGTCCATTCGAGGGGGGAGAAACGTGAACCCTTTCATGCACCCGGTGACCCGATGACACGATAGGCCGTCCGCCGTAGTAACGCTTCTCCCCGAAAGGGTTCTTAAATATGACGTGGGGAAGGAGCGTCCGAGGTGTACGCCCGTCGCGTCGCATGCCGGAAGGCGACGACGTTCGGTACGTAGACGTTGACGGCGAGCCACGAATGCCCCGCCCCGTATGTTGGCTCCGCCCGATGCGAGCGTCCGAATCGGTGGCTTTGGTGAAGTGTAGCGCTCGCCGGCGTTTGTAACCGAGAGCTTTGTGGGCGTGCGCCTCCAGGCTTCGTCAGCTACGACAACCCGGTGTCATCGCAGGCCGCCATCCAGTCCATGAACGGTTTCCAGATCGGCATGAAGCGGCTCAAGGTGCAGCTCAAGCGCTCCAAGAACGACAGCAAGCCGTACTGAGGCCGCGCCGGTAAGTGCGGCGGCAAAGGC